AAAATATACCACTAATTGTTAAATTGCATCTTGAGTTTGAACTGATGGCTTCCTTAGTCATGATATTGAACTGGCTGCTATAAATCTTAAACATCAGAATTGAAGAGTGAACATGTGGTAAGGTTTCTCAGTACATACTATAAAAATGATGGTATTTTATCAAAGGAGGTATGAATAAGTTTTAATTATAAAGCACTCCATATCTTCAATAAATGAAGACTAAATCAAGTGTTTTGACAAGCTGAAATTTCACATTATTTAAGCGGAAGAACACTTACGAAGCCAGAAAAATAGCTGCTGTCCCTACAAGCTGCAGTTTCCCTCTTAGAACAGACATGCACGAAAGAAACCTGTCCAGGAAGTTGACAGCCAGATAGAGAGTCTCGGCTCGAAGTTTATATTCTTCTCCGACCTCAACCAGCCAGTCCACCAGAATCGTTCGCATGCCTTCTGTGATGTCTGGTTGTTTCCTCATGTAGTGTACTTTGGGCCTGTATTTCATCTGTTTGGGGAAAGCGTTTTGACATTTAAACATTGCTATATCAGAAAGATCACTTCAGGGTACAGTTGCTATTTTTAAAAATCTCATGAGCAAAGGTTAGGAAGAAACTGATTGAGCCAAATAAATCTTTACTATGATATAGAAGAAAGTATGAATTCTGGTTCTGTAATGCAATTAGGTAATAAATACCTAAAAAAGGGGTGGGGGGGATGGCAATCAGCTTATTCCTAAGAGTGAAATACTTATATATAAACCCTTTGAGTCAAAGAGGAATAGTCCAAGTAATTGCTACTCACCTCACAACTATTATTTTTCATAAACATTCTTATGTTTAGCTGTCATAAGAATGCCATTCACTAATGGTTATAACCAAGAATTTATAACTATCTTAACATTAAATGCTTGGGGTGCTGGAAATTGAAGTAGAATTTGTGAAAACTCACTTCAGCTTCTCTAAGGTACTGGTGAATTTCTTCGGCATATTCAGTCACATTTATCACGTCTGTAGCAGAATTGGATGCTTCTTCAGATGGGGAATGGACAGATGAATCTACCAGCATAGGGGAAACTGCAGGGGTTCAACATTATCAGGTAAGATATTTAATGTAAAAACTTGTTCCATCCACTAACCCTCCACAAGCAATTGTGAAAACAGTCATTATTTCATGGTTTTCTCTTGCTAGTTATTTGCTATTGAACACTGTAGGCAATTAGGAATAGAGTACCATCCAGCCACAGGTGAGTCAGAGTACCTGTGTTAAAATCCAGCAGGAAGTGAAGGTCTGACTTGAGTGTGCCAGCATCTACTTCATACACATCCTCAAATGCCATCCCTGCTCTTCCTGTGTAGCTGTTTGTGTCCTCTGGCTCAGGCTCATCCATGTAGATATCAAATCCTTGCTTGGCTGGCATGGGGACACCGCAGTCAGACAGAGCTTTCTTTCCGGCTTCAGGGAAGACATTTTCTGATCCAGAGAAACACCTGAGTGTTGTGTTCCCCTAGAAAAGGGTCAAGTTTTTTGTCAGAGGCCACCCCAAAGACAATATAGGTGATGGAAACCTTTGCAACTCAAACCGGCAGGCTGGAAGATGAAAGGAATCTTAAATTGAAATATCTATGTCTGCAATTTAATTTCAGAAAATGAAGCTTCCAGAGTATGACTTCTCCCTGATCTTTGTCTCCATTTCACATTTGGGAAAAGAGCTACCTAAAATGTGTCATTTTCCTCACGTATTTATCAAAGGGAACTCACAATTATAGAAGAAAAACTATAGCTCTTCTCCAAAACAAAATGGGTACCACGTGTGTGTGTGTGTGTGGGGGGTATACATTGGCTTTCATGCTTATAACATTACAAGGTTTTGTAAGTACACCGTATAGTTACTGAGGTCCTACAGTCTCCTCCTTAAATAGTTAATTTTTAGTCAGTAGGCTCCTGTGAAGTTCCCATTTTATACCCAGTTTTTCAGAAATAGGATAATTTTATAAACTCACACTACTACACTCTCTTACAAGCCACAGAATATTTCTGTATGACATAATGCAATTACCCCTGGGCAACCTAACTCCCAATCGCTTCTCCCTTTTCTTTATTCCTATAGCATTAACAGTGGAACAACTGTGTGTGTCCCCTCTGCGAACAAGAATAATGTATCAAAGACTACATCTTGGTACTGCATTAACATTTGATTGTTTATAATTAATCTTGGTGTTTACTGTTGAGGCCACTTCCAAGTTATTATGTGTTTCCATAACTTTCTCTT